ACCTACACTTACAAAAGCAAGAGTGAATCCTAATATGAACTGCTCAGTGGTGGTGGTGGTGTATTAAGACAGGTTCATCAATTATACAAATATACCACTTTAGTCAATATTTTTGACAATACAGATGTGGGAATATGATTACATGAGAAGCCTCTGACCCTTGCTATGAAGTGAGTAGCGCTCTAAGAAACATTCGTCTTGCTGAAACCTTAGCATACTCCAAAATTAGACTTGAGCTCAATGTCCAGTCCACCTCTTCCTGAATGTGACCTTGTAGAGAAACAGCCTCTCACGTAAAGTTACTAAAGGAACAAGTTAATAAATGCAAAGCATCTCACACATAATAACCCCAAAAGAATATTCATAAAAAAAAAAATCAATGGTGGCATGTGCCTATAATCCTAGCACCTGGGAAGCAGAGGCAAGAGTTCCAGGAGCTTAAGGTTATCACCAGTTACATAGTGAATTTGAGGCTAGTCTGGTCTATATGGGCCCCTGTTTCAAAAAATAATATTAATAAATAAAACTAGGCATAAGCCCAAAAGATATACACCAGCTTAACTACAAATATGAGAAATCCTCCCAAAATCCAGCAAATCAAAACTCTGAATGTAATTTTAATGCAAAACCTTAGGTTCATCAATATAACTTTTTAATGAATTCATTAGTCAAAATTAACAGAATAATTCTTCATGAAAAGAATATACACAATGAACAGAAAATTCAGAAAGGTCATAATTAAAATTCCAATTATCTAGAAAAATATATAAACCACTTCAACTAGGAACACATGAGAGAGAACACAAAGTAACGGAAATGCCACTTTAACCACCAAAAGAACAGGAAGAGCTAATACTAAACCTTTACTTTCAAAGTCTAGGGCTACCTCTTCAGGGTAGGACTCCAACCTCTTCCCAAGAAACCTTTATATTCTGCTTCTTACCGATTTGATTTTTTTTCTTAAAACAATAACATTAAACACTCTAAAACTAAAGAAAATAAACATGCAACTTTCTATGAATTGTGGTAAACTTTCATTGTAATATTCTAAATAATGATCCATGTAAACCCTCTTATTTAAACTAAAGCAAAACTTTGGGGCCTGGTGGCATAGGTCTATAATCACAATACACAGAAAGCTGAGGCAGAAGGATCATAACTTCAAGGGCTATAAAGAAACTCAAGGCTACCCTGTCTCAAGAACAAAAATAAGAAAAGGATTGTGTATACAGTTCAGTGGTAGAGCCCTTGCCTGGCATGTGTAAGGCCCTAGATTCAATCCCTATTATTGTAAATTAAATCGATTTTGATAACTAGAATTTTTAAAGAGTGTATTTTAAAATATCAATGTATTCCATGTAAATGCTTTGCAGGCAATCATGGACATGCATGCTTGTCATCAACCCCATCTCACAGGAGGCAGAGGCAAGAATCTGACTTCAAGATCAACCTGGGCTACATAGACTCCCAGGCCAATCTAAGCATGCAAAACACAATAGCCAAGTCACTATGAAGTGTTTGATTTCTCACTTGCACCTCTAAACTAAATGATACTTTAAAATTATCTACATAAACGAGATATATAGTAAACCTAAAACACAATTCTCCAATTATATATTAAACACTTCTTAAATACAATCACTTTTTAAAAATGTTTTAGAATTCATTTGGTAATTACAAACAGAATGTCAGCTCTCAAAAGTTTCTCTGGACAGTGGTAGCACACACCTTTAATCCCAGTACTGGTGTGGCAGAGATTGGCTGATCTCTTTGAGTTTGAGACTAGCCTGGTCTACAAAGCAAGTTCTTGGAAAGCCAGGGCTACACAGAAAAACGCTGTCTTGAAAAACCAAAATCCAAAAACCAAACCAAAACAAAACAAAATGGTGGTCTTGGGTTCCACAACATCAGATCCAAATCATTTGGTAGAAAACAAGCTGTGTCTGAACACACACATTTTTGTCATTACTCCATGCACAATACACAATACACTACAACTGTTGACACAGCATTTACATCGCAGCAGGTTTAGGGAATTACAGGAGGATGTGTAAGTTGTGTGCAAACACTGCACCTTACACAAAGGACTTGAACTGCTGTAGACTTGGGCGGGGAGACAGTTGTGTCTGAAAATTTAAGGTTGTGTCTTCTATCTTTATGACAATAGCCATTAGAAGTCTGAAACCATGATTATTTGTCAAGTTTAAAAACTCTTCGCTGTAGGAACATTAGTAAACACTTTTACGACCAATACCTAGAAACAAAAAAATTTCAATAAGCATATGAATTGACTCATAATTTACAGACAATAATCACTTCCTAATATGGAAAAATATTGACAAGGAAGTACACAAAAGCCACCTCTACATGCTCAAGGATTTATAGGGGCAGCAAATTACTAGGTATATTTTGGTTAAATGCTACCATTTTAAAAAATACAATTGTTTCCACTCAGTTCAAATAAGCAGATGTTGGTAGATGAAAACATTAAAAAGCCTAAGAGAACTAAGCTTTCAAAATTAAGAAAAATTCTTAAAGGGGCAAAAATTAATTGAACTAATTCATTTATTATATAGCCTGAAATTCTTGACACTGACACTGAAAATTGTCTGTGAATAACTTTTCAAAGCAGGCTGAAGTGGGAAGGGAGAGTTGTAATTAGTGAGATTTTACTAAAATATTAGTAACAGTTTTACAGTAAAGGGCAAACAGTGTCACTGTTTTAAACCTAAGAAGACAGGCATCTCATTACTAACACACTAGTATGAAAATATTAGCAATATGCTCAAGCTCTAAAACACGGAGTTTGGAAACACAGCTGTAGTAGAGGAAAAGTACAGATATAAGGTTAACCCTAAAGACCAACTAGTTCAAATCTACAGTAGTAACTATTACAAAAGCTCACTAACTTATTAAACCACAACCTTTGCTCCTACCCTCAAACAACCTATCTTCTAGCCATTCCAGCAACATTTTAGAATCATGGCTGCCACTGAAGATGCAGGCTTTACAAAGGCTCTATCTGTGGTCATAATCTATCATTCTGAGTGAAAGGGAACTATTTCCATATTCCCAAGCATCTTGTGCCCCTCCATACCAAAAAAAAACAAGAACAACTGAAAAACCAAAAACACAGTATTGAAACAAACAGGATTTTGCATCACAGAAACCAGCATTATAGCATAGGCCTGGACAGCTGAGGCAGAAGGATGCTCTCAAGTGCAAGCCCAGCTTGGGCTACACAGCCAATTTTGAGACAAGCCTGGAACCGGAAGCAGGGGTGTGAACAGAAACGTCTACTCCGATCAGTCTACATTTTTAAAAGCATTCACGATGTAGTCACACTGTCCTGAAGATGTTTACAGAAGTGTCACCATTCAAGTCCACTCTCTAAAGAGGGAAGACCTTTAACAGCAGCCAGTGTGAGCACCACCGCCAACAAAGACAAGAGTCATAAAACTTTTCCACAGCGAGGGAACAAATCACAATGAGTAATGGGTTTGTCTGTGGAAATCACTTGTTCACACAGCACTTAGAGAGCAATGGATCTGAGAAGAATTCACACGCTGGGTTTTGTTTTTTGGGTTTTTTTTGTTTGTTTGTTTGTTTTAAAGTGCAAACTTCACAACCACAGTCAAATGCGAAGCAAGGTTCCTTACAGCGAATTCCCTTTCGGGGCAAGCTCACTCTTGCTTCCCAGGGCAAAGCAACTTTCATGTAGGATCAAAGTCATTTCAGCTAACGTGTCCGGGAGTCATTTAAAAAGAGAATTTACTATCGTTCACTATGGCTCTTTTTTTTTTTTCCTGAAATGTTCCACTGACTCAAGGATGGAGTGATCCACTGAGCTTTGTACCCTGAGGCAAAGGAGCAACCAGAAAAAGGTGGTGGTTTTACAGGTGGCTCCTTCGTTAGAAAACAATTGGGAGGAGTCTGTTCTAGAAACGGTGCCTAAGTTAGAGCCGCTGCAGTAAAGGTTTGCGGCTGAAGCGAGCGCAGTTACCCAAAACACAACCACACAAACGAAACCGCTTCCAGACCTGAGTACTTGTACCTACATTTAATAATCCACTTCGATTCCCAGCACTTCACACTCGAGCTTCCAAATTCAAACCGCCAACGTTAACAGTTCCCGGAACGACACCAAAACCAGTAAAGCCCTTTTCCATGTCCCCGTGTGAATTGACAAAGGGAGAGGTCGGGCATTCACAACTCGCCCAACTTTACACTCCAGACAGTAGAGTGACGGCAAATAAAGGCAGTAACTCCCCACCGACGCTGTTCCCACACCACACCGAAGCCCTTTGTTTCTACTCCCCGCAAACGTAAATGGAACAGAAGCCGAGAAGCTCGGCGTAATACTGAAGGAAGGAGGTAACAAAAAGTCAAAGGAACTTAAAGGAAGCTACAGAGGCAGAGATAACCCGAAAGGTCGATAGAAAAGTAGGAAAGGCAACCCAAAAGGAATGGGAGGAAAATCTAGGGTGTTGGGAACCACTTCAAGGGCTGCCAAGTGACAGGAATCTGGGCCCACCAAGCCGAGTTAGGACGGAAATCCGAAAAAGAGCTAACGGGAGGGGGGAACAATGGGGCGGTGAGTCCCGGAGCTAGCGGGGCGACACCGAGCCGAGGGCGGCCAGGAGATCCGGGACGGGTGGGGAGGAAGGGCAAAGGGCTGCCCGGAGCTGGGAAAGGAGTTCGGGCGAGCACCCGGGTGGGTGGCAAGTTGGTGGAGCGCGATGGGGCACGGTGGCGCCTGGAGCCAGGAGGAGAGGGTCTCGGGGGATCTCCGGGTGGGGAATGGCTTGTCACGTTGCTTTCTCTTTGGAGAAGAGAGCGGAGGCCGCGGAAGGCAGGTGTGATGGAAGCGGCCAGGAACCCAGCTCGACGAGGCATCGGAGCCACGGCGCAGCTGAGACGCAGGGAGGGAAAAGGCAGCTCGAGAGGGAGAAGAAAAAGATGGAGAGGGAGCGGGAGGGGAGGCGGGGGGCTTCACTCACAGTCCAGGTGCTTCTTCTTGGGGCCCATGATCTCGTGGGTCGTGGCCTTGCATACCGTCTTGGAGACCGCGGAGCCGGTGACACTGTGCTGGGCCGCGGTGATTCGGTCCGTCAGGCTCTGGCCAGACATCTCTGCGGCTCGTCCGCCAACCCCCTTCCGCTCGGCAGCCGGCGGGGCCTGGGACCCCCAAGCGCCCGAGGGTCCCCACCCCCCACCGCACCCCCGACCCCCACCGGCTCCCGGCCCGCCCGCTCGCCTGCCGGCCTGGGGCGGGGCTCAGGGCCGCGCGCCGCCACCCGCCCGCAGAGCCCCCCGGCTCGCGTGTCCCCCCCCGCGGGCTCCTACACCCAGTCGGGGGTCACTCCCGAGCCCCGCGCCTCAGCCTCAGCCCACCCCCTGCCCGGGATCAGCTGGAGCCCGGTCGGGCCAGAGGGACAGGCAGCTGCAGGGAAAATGGCGGCGCCAGGCTCCTCCTCGGAGCTTTCCGGGCGGCCCCGGCGTCACGTGACTCGGGTCCCGCCCCCTGGCTCCCTTCCTCCCGCCCCTCGCTCCCTTCCCTTCCCGTTCCTCTCCGGCGCGCGCCCCCCCTTCCTCCTCCTTCTCCCTCCCTCGCTCGGGCGAGGGCAGAGCCGGGCGACGACGGCGGCGGCGGCGGCGGCGCCCGCGCGCGCGTGCGCGCGCCCGCGCGACGTGGTGGAACCCGCCCGGCGGGCGCAACAGGAGGCCGGGCCCGCGGGGGCCGGCGAGCGGCTCGCCGCGTCACGTGACGCGCCCCTGCCAACAGGTCGCCCCAGGCGGGACCCGCGTGTCACCGGGGCGGGGTGGGGGGAGGGGGCGTCCCGCTTCGCCCCCCGCGTCCCCTCCCAGGCCTGGACGTGACAAAGAGGTGAGGCCGCCGCCTGCGCGCAGCTTGTCCCCCGAGGTGGAGGTGTCTGGGCTCGCCGGGCTGCTCCGCGCTCAAGTTGGCGACGACCCCGTGGCCCTCCGCGGGTCGAAAAGGACACGGCCCCAGCCGGGCTCTTCGGAGCCTCCAGGCAGGCCTCTTGGCTGTGGGACTATTCCATTACACGTACACACCGGGTTTGGTTTGATTTATTTTATATTTTTTTAATATCAGAAAGGTCTTTTCGCACCCCTTCGTTTTCCTTGGGAGTGTTGGAAATGTCACCTAGTTTTGTTTATCTCGACTACTAAAAGGCGCCACAGACGTTCCTGCCTGTCTAAATTTAGATATCAGGCAGCCCGGTACTCATTTAACACGGTGTCCAATACGACAGGAAACACATAGCATCAGTGGAATTTGAAAAGGGAAGTAGTAGGGTGATGTCAACAGTGATTAACTTGACCCTACAAGGCTGACAACTCGGGACATGAAAGGTCCACACCATAGAAGGAAGTGAGCCTGGTCGGTAAATGGAGAAGTCCCATTCAGGGAGTCAGACATCTGTACCTGCGATCTCCCCTGGTATAGTCTTTCTTCCCTTTGGCCTCTTTTCTCCTCTTGTGTGAGCCAGATTTCCATGGAAAGATATTGATGCTGCCCGGTAGGCATTTTAGAACAGTTTGACATCCTGAGACTCCGATCTATGAAATCCAGACGATCTATTAACAAGGCCTTTTTAAATGGTACTAATGCTCTCTACGTTTAACTCAGGCTTAGGGATAAATTTTCAATTCTCTCTGAATGTTAAGTTACCATCATGGTTATATGTAATCTTGCTAGTTTCAAATGAAATGCTAGCGTAGTCGAAATCTGTGTACACCATCTGCCAACCAAATCTAGAACACTGTGCTTAAATCTGTTGACTCTCAAAAGATGAAAAAACTAATACATGTTTAAAATTGTATGTGTGGTATCAGGAATTCCATTCCCTTTTTTATTTTACACACACACACACACACACACACACACTGTGGCGCTATGGCTGGTTGAAATTCTGAAACACCAATGCTTTGCCAAGAACTCACAGTTCTTAAGCCTGCAGGTTTCATTGTCAGCAAACCAGCTTGAAATTTCACAAAACTGTAAAACTCCCTTCGGTGCATCTGCAGTCCATCTGTAGTTTGGTGCCCCGTGTTTATCAGGCAGTGGAATGGCCAGGTTTTATTTTATTTTTTGCATTTGTTTATCATGTGCATGCATGTATGCATGTTCACATGTTGATGCACATATGTGTGAGTACAAGATTTAATCCATCATAATCCCTTTATTCTCAAACTGTTCTAGTAATTTCTTAGCTAATTCCTCTATTGTTTAACCCTCCAGTTGACAGTTTCTGAACCTATAATGGGTTTATTTGTCTGGGCACTAAAATTGTCCACAAATTCTATGTAGATTGTATCTCCAAAATGTGCCCACTCATCCCCTTCCTCACACCACCAATCAATGTGTTGGGACTTAATCCTCAACTGTGTTAAGAGGTGTGGCCTAATGGGAAGTTTTTAAATCATAAATGGATTAATGCTAATTAATTATAAGAGCCTTGAAGTTCCAATCCTCCCTCTCTCCCACTTTCTCTTTGCTTTGTGCCCTAGAATAATTAAACTCTTGATTTTGGACCTCCTAGCTTCCAGAATGAATCTATATATGTTTATCAAAAATTACCCAGTCTTGCTAGGCAGTGGTGGTACATGCCCTTAATCTCAGCACTCAGAAGGCAGTGGCAGATGGATCTCTGTGAGCTCAAGGCCAGGCCAGTTTATTTATTCATAACCAATAAAAGCAACACATAGACAGAAGGACCTCCCACACCAGACTACTTTCTATTCTTGAAGAGAACCAGAGTTCAGTTCCCAGCAGCCATGTTGGTTGAATCATAACATCTCAAACTTCAGTTCCAGGAGATCCAATGCCCTCTTCTGGCCTCTGTAGACACATGCATATACACACAGAGTTCACAGGAGCCTATAAATAATTTATTTTTATTTTAATTTATTTTTAAAAAGAAAACCAACATTTTTTTTCAAAATACATACCAATACAAGTTCTCACTCCCTCCCCTCCTCCCATTTCCTCCACTTACCCCCCACACTCACTCCTCAAAGAAGGTAAGGTACATTGCTTTGGGGAAGGTCCAAGGCCCTCCCTACTATATCTAGGCTGAGTAAGGTATCCATCCAAAGAGAATAAGTTCCCAAAAAGCCAGTATATGCAGTAGGGATAAACCCTGGTGCCACTGTCAGTATAGGGGCTACTGGTAGTGTCACCTATAAATAATTTTAAAATAAATTTTAAATAATAAAAATTTAAAAGTAAACACCTGGTCCTCGCCTGATAGCACTGCTTTGGGAGGTAGTAGGGCCTGTGTGATGGAGGTAGGCCCTAGCAGGCAGGCCTTTGAAGGTTACCTGCTCCTTCTGGTCCTGCCACTGCTTTCTGGTCGATGCTTCATATTAGAAGCTCTGTCACATGTCCCCTCTAGCACAGCCCCGCTCCACATATCTCCCATTCCTAACAGATGGAATGAAACCCCCTGAAGCCAGGAACAGCAGTCTGTGCTTGCATAGCTCTGGTCAGGTGTTCATCGTAGCGAGGAGGAAAGTGACGGATACCTACCCTCAGACCACTGCTAGCAGCTGGTGTGAGCAGACCTCCAGCCTCATGACGGTGGACGGATGAATGGAGACACACGTACTTAGATAGACAATCGCTGCAAAGCTTCCATCTGATCAAATCTGCCCACTTTTTTACAAATATATCATCCATCCTATAATTATCTGTCGGAGGCATCATCCTTACTCGGTATTTTGTTAATTCCCTCTTTCAGAAAGTATGTACTGAACGTTGACTGTGTGTCAGGCACCAATTTAGACGCTGTGTTCTGTTCTAATGGGGAAGCCGTCAGTTCTATGGGAACTAACCTATTTTCTATTTCAGTCACCAACTTGAAGGCATGTTTGCTTTACAAATGAGCAGTCCCCAAACAGAAGGAAACAATGTGAAAGCACATGTTAGTTTCTTAGCTCTCTTAAATAAAAAAGTATTTTGGAGAACGTCCTGGAGTCAAGGAGGAAAGAGCAACAGGTTTTTTAAATTTTGGTTTTTTGTTTTTGTTTTTTTTTTTTTGTTTTTTTTTTGAATGGCTGCAATGTACTACAAACACAGCAAAACTTTTTCATGTAATTCTTCTTACAATAATTGCAAAAAGTATTTTGCTTACCTAATAAAGGAACCCAATAAAGTAACTGTCTAAATCCCACAGGTTCTAAGTGGAAGAAACAAGATCTAGGGACTTGTTCTCTATTATGATATGCAGACCATTTAGCCAATAATTGAAGCAACTGACAATAGAGATTAAATTCATTCAACACATAGATGTTGTCTATATTCAGTGTGCTGCTTGTTGAATGTTAGAATGTACAGACAAACATGGTCCCTGTTCTTAAACTTCATAGAGATTGTATTTGTAGGCTTTAGTATTTCTTCATTTATTTTGAGATAGGCTCTTAGTCTGTAGCCCAAAATGGTTTTAAATTTGCATTTTAGCCCAGGCTGACCACAAATCCATGTTCCTCTGACCTCAACTTTCTGAGTACTGAGATTACTCACATGTACCATCACCTTTGGCCTGTTCTTAAACTTTCAAAATCTTGAAGTAGGGTCCTGGAAAGATGGCTCAGCAGTTAAGGACATTGATTGCTTTCCCAAAGGACCCAGGTTCAAACCCTAGCACTCACTTCACAGCTAACGATGTCTGTAACTCAAAGATCGACGTGCTCACACAGACTTACCTGCAAGCAAAAAAACCAATGCACATAAAATAAAAGTAAATAAATTGTTTTAAAAAGACAAGAAAAGCTTCTTGAACTAGGACTTAAAATGCATGCCTGACCTGAAGATCCTGATAAGCCTATGACCTAAAAGTAAGAAAGCCAATCTGGCATGGTGGCACACACCTTTAATTCCAGGAAATGGGAATTAAAGAATTGGAGGCCAGTGATGTCTACATAGTAAGACCCTGTCTCAAAAGAATATGAAGAGAGTAACCAGAATTTCTATAGTTATTACTTCATTTAAACCTATTTTGAGGTCCAAAGAGAGCCTCCTCCTCTGTCCTCACTGTCCTCAGACATTACTGTTGTTTGACATTGTATTTACTAGGTTGATAAGAACGTCCAGCAGCTCACTTCTCTCTTATCTTTTGCTACTTACTTCTCTACTTAACGACGCAGCCAAGTGAGTAAAAGATCGCCTTATGTAACCCACTTTCCTTTGTAACAGAGAACTCAAGCAAGTACTCCGTTTCAATTGAGGAGACTAATTCCAGCTCTCAGCATACATACTTGCAATAATATTAGCATGCTAGCGTTGATTGCTTACTCTGTGCCAAGCATGGAACGTTCATTCCTCCTGCACTCTGAAACAGCTTCATGGCTTCAAGGAGCACAGACATCTGATGACCAAATGGTTTCTTTCTTCCACTAAGCATGCAGTTAGACTGTTTCCTGGCCATCTTTCTGATTAGTTGGG